GGGGGGGTTTGGGTGTGGGGGGGGGAATTTTCCTTTCCCCCCCCCCCCTCCCTTTTGCCCCACCAAAGTAAAGGGTTTTCTTTTGAAAAATTGCCCCGAAAACCGAGTTTTTTTTCCCCTTTGGGGGGGTGGGGGGTAAAGGCCCAAAAAACTCCCAAACCAAAATTTTTGGGCCCCCCTTTGAAAAAAAGGGAAGGGGGGTTTGCCCCCCGGGTTTGGGCCCTGGGGGAAAAAAACCCCCCCCTTTGGGGGGGGGGGGGTCAAATTTTAAGGCAGCCCCCCCCCCCCCCCCCCCCCCACCCTTGCCTGTTGGTGCATATGTAGACCCTCTTCTGGCACTCGGTCCCCACCTCGGACCACTCCAGGCTATCCTTGTCCTTACCCCTGCCTGCTTCCGCCACCGCCGCCGATGTCACCGGAGAGTCCGCTCCCAGCACCTCCTCCGAGGCCGGCGCCCCCTGTCGTTGGTTCATTGATGCCGCGGAACCCCCTCCCCCTAGAGCCTCGCGGCCTTGTGCGACACCTGCCCATGATTGCAGAGTAGCCGAGCACCACGTTGGGGGTGGGGGGCGTGGAGGCATGCTGTGCTGTGCCGCCGTCTCGGGAGGCCGCATGCATGCCCAGGAAAATATCGCTTACCCTTCCCATGGCGCTTACTATGTACTGCGGCCCTAGGCTCGCGGGGTGCACACACAAGGATGCACTGTCCGCCTTCCCCATCATGCTCGGGTGTCAAAAAGAAGAAGAGTAACAACTTACTTTGGGCATAAGAGCTTACTTTACCGAATCTAGCAAGATTGACCAAACAACGAGCATGACAGACAGCTTTGGGCATATTTTCCAGCATAATTGCAAAAAAAGACCCTACGCTTGCCTTAGAAAGGGAGAATAACATATAGAAAATAAATAATGGGGCAAGTTCGATAAATTCCAACTCAGGCGAGGGACTAAATCCTCAGGGGGGTACACAGAAGACATGCGTATACTCTGCCACCACCGGGGATAGGGTGTGCCCAAGCCCGCCCCTCAAAGGCGTCCTAGAGGTCGAACAAACCCACACACCTCGAGGTGGTGAAATCAAACGCATCACAGCGCCAACATTTGCCCTGGTTGGGAAGTACCCTGCGGGATCCATCCCAGCTCTGAAGCGATTGTTCGGTGGAATATCATCAACACACTGCACCCGAGCATTCACATAGTGCATCCATCCTCTACAGCTATTTCTTCTTGGCATTCACAGCAGCTGACATGCGAAACGGCTGTCTACGGAGCGAAGAGACGTGGATGTCACGGGTGAAAATCTCGTGAAAATCTCGTGAAAATCTCGGAATAGTTGTTAAATGTGCCGCACCTGCTGTAGTTGACCCGCCATCTGCTCGTCCCTCTCCAGCGAAATCTTCCGAAGGTTTTGAGGACGCCAGCTTCCCGACCTTTCCCCACCACAGCTCGCTACTCCTCCTGCCTCGCCTTTGTCCTCTGCTACCCCCTTGCCATTGCCGTTCTTGCCGCTGCCATCTTTCGTTTGCGTCGGACGTTGTGGGTGTGACATCCAACGAGCAGCGGCGGCATGCGTCCGCAGCTCGACAGCGGTTGAAAGTCTTCGAAGCGGCCTGCGAACCAAAGGCGAAATGCACACAAATGATCGTAGTTAAAGGAGAATGCCCACGAGGCAGCCTGTGAATCAAAGGCGACATGCAAGAGAGATACGAAAATAATTTGGAGTGACAACAGAGTCGCCGTAGGGGCGCAATCATGTCTCGCATGACTCAGTTGTTCGATCGTTGACCACGCGTCCTCGAGGGGACGGGGCATTGTTCCCACAGGACCGATCACCGATGGTGTATGACAAAACACCTTTGCCACGAACGTGTGTCGTATACCGCAACGTGCGTGCGGCATTTATAGATACCGTAATAGTCGGATAATTGGCAAGGCTCCTGGGGGATGGCACCATCTTGCGAAAATTAATCAAGAGAAGGATGAAATGCATTTTCTAACAGGGATCGGAGAGATCACACACGGCATGATGTGTCGTTTCTCGTTGCTGGCTCCGGCACAATCTCTGCTGTGGGGGGATTAGGGCGCGTGCTACATCGCGTGACTCCGGAAAAAGTACTTGAGCTACGTGGGGTCAACGCGTTCGGTCGTGGCGTTGTTCCAGCGCATTGCTACTGGTTGTTAACGTTTGATACAATCGGGGGTCCACCGCTGATGCATTGGACAACATACTTACAGATACAGCAGTAGGACATCTTCGAAGAATAAGATTCGGTTACCTGCCGTCCACATTTTCACCACAGCACGTAAATCAAAAGAAACGCCCACAACCTATCGGCTCAGAACACCGCTTACTGTCCTCGACCCACAGTAGTATCCTGCCCACGGAAAAAGTTGGAAGGCAGGCACAACGGACTACGAACGCTTACGCAGGCTATTGTGCCGCATCGCACGATCAAGCTCGCATTCCACTACGCTTTCCGCTGCGAGAGTAAGGTGTATCCCCTCGCTGTCTTCTCAACAACTGATTCGTCGAAGCTGCACACACGCTGCTACGTCGTTGATGACCTGCACTGTTATTGTCCACTGCAGGCCCGGCAGAGTAACCATTCTTTCTCGACCTCAACCTCTGCTGTAAGCGGGTTGGTTGTACAAAGCCGTGTATGTAGAACAAGGTCAAACAACCAACTTACGACCACACCGACCGGCGAACCGGCCGACGCAGGACGAGCAACAATCACAACAACAAGGTGCGTGGTTCGTCGAAATCTGAACTTTGCGGTATCTTTGGCAAGTAGACCACGACCGCACTTCATCGCATGTGTACATGTAGCCACGACATTGGAGTACAGCATTACAGCATGCGTACGTACAATGTACCGACCGCCCGACGATCGGTTCGCGGGTGGTTGAGTTCAACGTTCAACGTTCAACGTCAACAGCAACACCAAACCTCAACGAGAAACACGGCAACCGACGCACCGATACTCCGTCTTGCCTCTGTCTGGTGCACAACGCCCGCTCATCGGAAAATGTTGTGGCTGTGGCTGTGGCTGCTGTACCTCCCAGTTGGTAAGAATCAAGGACTTGACTAGGTTGGTAAAGAATTGGTAAAGAAAAGTATGCGTGTTACTGCTGTAGTAGTCCAGAGTTCGAGTTACCTCGAAAAACACTTACCGCAGCGGATGTAGTAGATGGGGGAGGGGCCATGAAGGACACAGCTTTGCTGCATGATGCCGCCAGGAGGACCACGACAGCGCCTGCGCTCTTCTTGGCCGCGACCATCTTCAAGGTCATCCACACCTCCTGCCCCTTGCCTCTTTGTGTTGTTTTGTTGTTTGTTTTGCAGCTCAAACACTCACCGGTGTAGCACTCGGCCGCTGCAAAGTTTCCATGCAACGCCTGACGAACCTGCTGCAAACCCCTCGTACCCCGCGCCAAAATTTCCGTTGCGGCTCCCCTCTCGGCGCCCGCTTGCGCCCGCTACCCATCCCCACCTCCACCGGCCTCACTCTATCTACCCCGGCCTGCCCGGTATCGTCTCTCCGATGGTGCGGATAGCGGTACCGGCGATACACCTGGTGGGTTGCGTGCTTCTTCTCGCGAAAGCGGGTGCTGAGGATCCCCGGCCGGAGTCATGCGGAGTTGATGTCTTCCCGAACGATGAGGTAGGTCAAAGAGACAGAGGCAAACTTGACAACACCAACACCATGGGCCATCGCGGTTGTTGTTGTTACGGCACTCCCTGTACATAGCTAGCAGAAGGTTGTGGGTGGTGCCGATGCTGTGGACGGGCGTGGGCACGCTATGACAAGGTCAGGTTTCGAGTGTGACTAGCGTTGAGAGGTCTGCGAAAGCGGAGAGATTGTTTTTTGAACAGCCTTCGCATCCCCTTTGGAAGCTTGGAAGGGCCCCTGCTTGGATCAAGAGATTACCGCGCTGGACTTAAACTTTAGTAAAACACGCGTTGGTGTTGGAACGCTTTGGAAGATTGTTCATTTGTGCTTTGCTCTGATCTGTAGATAGAGATGAAGTCGTGTTTTTTTGTTTTTTCTGCATAGAAAAATGGTTGGGTCGTTGTCGTTGGCAAAAAATAACAAAAAATATAAAAAATTTCAGTCTATGGTCGACGCATGGCCGTTGCCTTATCAGAAACCCTTCATCCCCCCTTGAGCCCACGGGCGAACCTCTGACAAAAGTTCAAGCTTGGCTGCTTCTCTTTTTCTAGTACGAAACGTCCGTAGAGGCGAACCCCCCCCATGTGTCCTTTCTCGTCCTACAATTGTATTTGCCGCAGGACCGAAACATTTGTTTTTGTTCTTTTTGTTCTTTTTTGTAAATCAGTACTGGTATGACCCAACGTATCCATCTCTACAATATCGAAGAAAATAGTCCAAGATAGGTAGCACTAAATCCATACAATAGAGTCAGCGGAAGTTCTGTTTTTCCACGATTTCCCGAGCAGCGCACAGTGATATCTCCCCCGTGTTACTTTTAAAATTGCACACTGCAGGTCAACTACCTACATATGCCAAGCCCGGAATAGTGCCGCGGTGTTTAGGCGGGCAATACGGAATTTCCAAGTCATCTGAATACGCTGGTCTGGTCCATACTCCCGTTGTGTATGGCGCAACCCACGAATGATTCATACATTCGAGCGACATGCAACGGCGAGCGATGTCTTGACACGCCTGTTTGCCGCGAACCGGAACTCGCTGTGTTTCGCAACAACAGTTCGCCGTTTGCAACGTGGGGTCGTCGTGTCGAGACGAGTACAACCGCGCCAACGGTACCCTGAACAAGATGTGGCCGGAGGAAACCGGCATCGCGCCGAAGCGCATCAACGGCGAGCGGAATCGGGTCAAGCTCAACGAGTACCAACCAGTCACGGTGCCAAAGTTCACCGAGGTATGCATACGTAAAATGTTTTTTTTTACTTCATATGAAGACTTCTGCACATCCCTTTCGACTGCTGGGGTTATGTCTCGAACGAGTAGTGTCTTTCTTTGTGTGATTTTATGTATGTTTTCTAAGAATGATGGTTGGGCAACCGCCCTCGGCGCGTGGTGTTGAGTATGGGTACTACTATTTGCTGCCCCAGGAACACGCGTAGCCATCTCATGAATATTACAGACGACGAGGATGCTCACCCCACAGACAAGGATCTCTCCAGCAGCCTTCGCGGGGTGTTTGGATTTAGTATGCACGTTGGAAAAAGCATGCAATCAGGGGTTAGGGTTCGGGTTAGGGAATAGAGTCTGCGTACCCCCTCCCTATTCTATTCGCTCATAAACTTATTAACCTCGTGACGGCGGTTCGATGCTCTCACGCCGGGGCAGCACTTGGACCCCAACCGCATGCATACCCATAAGGGCCGGATCGGGTATCGTTCCCACGTACGACAAACATACAACATTCCCTTTTCACGTTTTGGTGGTTTTGGTGATGGTTGTGTTTGATTTTGTAATTTAGGAAATATCCATACTGTACAATGACAGAAAAGACAAGTCATTGGAGAGAATGCCCCGATCGAAGGGATGTGTTGCTAACGTCTGTACGGTGACGGTGGGTGTTGGTAAGTCTTTACAGTGACTGACTGTTTTCAACGGGATGTGTTGATATGTCTTTACAGTGACTGACTGCTTTCAACGGGATGAGTTGTTTTCAACGGGATGTGTTGATAAGTTTTTTCAGTGACTGTTTCAACGGGATGTGTTGATAATGTCTTCACAACAGCAGTGACTGTTTCCACGCTGCGTTTTTCTTCCAAGTGCCACAATTAGGTTGGACGCCGGAATCCCTTGAGGGAGCACGCAAACCCTCCCGGGTCGGACTGAAACACGCGAACAACCACTTCCGCTCAAGCCGCCTAACAACAGGCAGCAGCAGTCATGCTGCACAATAAGGGTTATCGTGAATCGGTTGCTCTCCGAAAGGTTTTCGCCACGGCTCGATGGGAAATGAAGGCGGCGTAGATAGGCGCATCTCCATCGCCACCTTGGCCGAGGCTGACGTGCCACATTTTCATGCCCGCATGCAGCCGTGACGTGGCATGGTGTTGCCAAGATTTTCTCGAGCAATACAACAGCTCGTTCCTCTGGGTTTCCCCACCGCATCAACAACGAACAACACAGAACAGCAGCCTTCGAGAGGGATACCCAGCTTGGTTGTTGGTACTTGTAGGGGGTACTAAATGGGGTTGGGGATTATGGATAAGGATACGAAATCCCCCTCTCTATTTCCTAGATTAATAATAAATCCTCGCGAGGGCGGTCAGAACAGTACTCCACATTGACGCCCACGATGACACCCAACGAAGCTTCGCGTTAACAACACCGACGACATGATGTCTCGCCCTCGCCAACGGCCACGATACGTGTTGCAAGTATTTCCTCGAGTGGTATTGTGCTTTCGACCCGTTACTCTTGGCAACAGCGAACATAAACGAAATCCACGTTGACACCGACGCGCTGACACGCAAAGGTTCACGCTAACAAACGTCCACGACATGATAAAACGCCCACGGTTTTGGCACCCTCACGGCAGCTTGGGTACAAGAAGGAGAAGCTTAACCCGGACACTTACGCGTACCTCATGGAGTGGTACCACGGCCAGATGGAAAACAAGATGCCCGTGACTGAAAAATGGGCCCTGGACAACACCTACGTTAACCATTGGGAGGTCGGTACCAAGATGACCACCGCGCCGATGAGGATCCACAGGGTGAGTTGAGGAGGCGTGTGGTTTGGATCGGAGCCTTGGCTTGCAAAGGACGATCGCGTTTCGGTGGATTGCCTCTCTGAAGCCTTGGTTGTGAAGGACTCGTCCGAAGGTGCGCTGTTTTTTTTTCTTGTACCGTGCAGATAGATGGCTGGACCGAAGATTAGGCGCAACGCGAACAGAGACGTTACGAGGCAGAATGACATGAACGAACGCGCGAACTCCCGAGGTCGAGTCTTGGAGTGACTGATTCAACGGTTTGCTCATGGCCGTCTTGTATGTGATCTTGATATGCCGTCCCCAATAAAGAAGAATTGAGAAACATAGGAAGCTCACACATTTTGAAACCCATTTTTTTATTCTTCTAGGTAAAACATTTATTGCAGCGACCAATTTATTTTTACTTTTTTTGTTTCACCGCTTTTTTTATTTATTTTTTCGTCTCCACGTCTACGTGTGTCCGCGGTGGTGCTGATGCAGCGCTTGTATCAGGACCTGCTTCCTGTCATGGAGGAGTGGTCCGGCACCAAGCTAAAGTCTACGGCATGCTACGGGGTGCGACACTACTACAGGGGCAGCATCCTCGCGAACCACGTCGATCGAGTCGACACGCACGTCATCTCCGCAATCATCAACGTGGAGCAGGCGCGTGCCTCTTGATCCCCGTTTTTTTCGTCACGATGACTTTCTTCAACGTGGCTCTGCTTCGGGACAATGGCGTTGGCCTCTTCATCAGAAAAGTTGTGTGCTTGTATTGTAGCCTACTTGAGAACTACACTGTGCAAACCTCGATATGTATCTCCGACTGGCTAACAATGTATGGTTACCCACGTTCCATACCGTAGTAACCGCCGTACCGCGCGGCATATCAACCGTACACGGTGACTGGAGGAAGAAGCCGTACGCCACATGTGTCATCTCATTGGCCAACCTAGAGTACCGCTAAGCTACGCATCTGGTTTTGTAGATTGCGCTGTGTTGTGTACCCTTTTATGATACGCTCCGTGCAAGCGCCGGATGGTGTTCGTGGGACAAGTTCCCGCGGGATTCCTTTGGCAGGCACCTGGACCATATATGTGTTTTCTTGCTTAGCATCGACCGCGGTATGGTAGCCGGCTGACTAATGATAGAATGCCTCAGCCTTGTAGGGGGATAACAAACACCAACACTTCCTACTCACGGGGTAAGTTATTGGTGTGTGTTTTTGTGGTGACCAGACCTTTTTCATGACAACAGCAGTACCTCATGCGTGTGTGTGACAACTTTTTTCGTTCCGTGCTCTGGTTATTGTTCTTGTTCGCCCCCCCCCCCCCCCCCCCCCAGGAAAAGTGGACACCGAGGGGGGGTTTTATGTCCCCCGCCCCCAAGGGGTTTCCAAAAAACCCTTTCTTTGGGGGAAAAGACTTTTTTTTGTCTTCCCCTCCCAAAAAAAGGAAAATTTGAAAGGCCACCCTGGGCCGTAATTTTCCCCCCTTGTTCCAAATAAGCCAAAAAAAACGGAAACAGTGGAAAAACCCCCACCTTTGGGGTAAGGGTAAGGGCCATGTCTGCCTTCCCCCCGGCCGGGCCCTTTTTCGGGATAAAACCC